AAAGAGGCTTTTTGCCATATGGAGGGGCTTCATGTTGGAGGGAGGGGGCAGGCAAAAAATGGTTTCTTGCTACAAACCTACATCTGTCTTTGAGTTGTGAATAATATATATTAAGGTTATATCAAACAACAAAAATGCACTCTTTGTAGAAAACTTTAAATTGATTTAAATCCAATCCACCCTGTTTGTAAGAGTTAAATCTTACAAAGACTCAGTCTGTGGTAGTTTTATATATGTATCTGATTTGGTTTTCAGAAAGCTCATGCCGTTGCAGTGGGCATCATGTTCTCAGTGTGCCTGCTGATATCCTTGGGGCCTTTGTACCAGGCAAGCCACGTGGTGGTAAGGGCGTAGATTATCCAAGCATCAAGTGACTGCTTGCTGGAGACTGTATAAAGGGAAGCTTTTGGGTTAATCTCAGGAGCATGAGGGTTGAGGAAAGATATGCTGATAAAGGGTGGAAATAGATACTGCCTTTTGTCTCCATTGTGCCACCATAAAAAAAGTTTATGGCAGCACAAACACCAAGCAAACAGACATCCATGCTCCTTGTTGTGCTGCAAATGCCCTTATTTGTGGCTATGTTAATGGTATCAATTCGTACCACTACTTTTAATTGGTGAGTATCTGTTTACTTTGTGGCAAGAGAGCATGGGCAGCCTTAACTGTTCTCCAGCCTTCCTGGGCAGGTTCTGCAGGAGACTTGAGGACCCTGATCTTGCACACTAAGGGAATTCCTGGGGTCATGTCTCTGTAAGTGGGGAGAGCTAGCCAGGCACTTCCAGGGCTTCAGGGGCCCAATCCAACACAAGAATTCCTGGGTGCACAGGACCAAGCCCTACTTATTGTCTCATAGCATCAACAGGCAGAACAGCGTGTGAAGTGTTTCACCCCATGAAGCAGATTAGCTATGCCAAAACACATCCTAGCACAGCTGATCAGTTTTTTGGGGCACATAGTTCTGGCCATAGAAACTTAGTGGAAGGCCTACAGTAGGGAATTGCTGGGATGGACATGTCTTCTTTCAAATTATGGAAGTTGGGGTGCATCTGTTACACCATATCTTGTCTTGGTTTGAGACTCCTGTTTTTTTATATGTGCGTTAATAAACCTGCCTCAGGGAAACTGAACATGAGAGTTTGGGCTTTATTTGATTCATATACTTGGTGAATCTGCCATTAATTTACAGTAACTTGCTAAAATTTCAATATGAACAATAGATGGAATTTGTTGAGAGAAAATTTGACCTAGAATTTCTTGTTTTTGCTAAGTGTCTACCCTTAATTTATCTATATATGTGTGTTTGTGTCTTGTAGGCAATTAAGAATACAAAGAAAAGAAGTTTCTAACATACTAAATGAATTAAGATTACAAATTAATGCAAAAACCACAAGATTGAACATCAACGTAGACGATATCTGGAGTAGTGCCTTAAAAGGATTCAGGGGTCGCAACTTCAATCCTGCAAGCACAATTGAAATTAACTTCACAAATCTTAAGGGTAGATTAAAAACAGACACTATTTGTGGATCAAAGCATGATTTTTTCCAATTATTAATGCTTCATCTTCAGAACTCATCATTGTTTGAGGGCTCATCCTTAAAGAATTTGTCTCTTGATTCTCAAGGTAAATGTAGTATATAGAGGAGAGAGAAACCGTGAATTGATGTGCATGGAAGTAACTTTCATAATATTGTGTAATTTTAAGGGTCTAGTTCTCCTAACCAGGTTTAATGATCTTTGCACCACAAGATAGAAATACATGTATTCTGTATTTACTGTATATCAAAGTAATTTCCCTTCTGTGGAGTTACCTTAAGTTTATTACTGTTATAGGCATATATTGAATGTTTTGCTCTTTATCAACATCACAAATGGAAAATCCTTATGGTACTTGTTCTTTCAAAGGTACTTGTTCTTCCATGCCTTTTTTCTCATCCCCCTAGTCTGACAAGCACAAATGTAACTAGATGACTTGCAGCACTCTTTCTAGAGATTTAGAAGCCCTTAGCTTCCTGCAGCACCCCCTCCAGTGCTTTATAATTGTATTGTGCATGGGAGTCTGGGAGAATTCTGCTGTAGCTGGACTTGGTTTCAAGGGTGGAAGAGAGTCTAGGTGATAATTAGACACTTGTGGGTGTGACCAATCTGACTGTTGTGCCCTTTGAGTCGAGAGCAACTACATTAGAAGAGTATGCCTATAATATTAGGATAGTACCTGTTGCATATAGTAAATAGTTCATTTTTAATTCAAATACACTTTCTTTCCAGCTCTGAAAGAGAATCTGTATTATGAAGCTGGCAAAATGATTGCAGTTTCTTTGGTTCATGGTGGTCCAGCACCTGGTTTCTTTTCCAAAACATTGTTTAACTGCCTTGTTTATGGTCCAGAGAATGTGAAACCAACTGTGGAAGATGTCACAGATGTTGATGTAGCACAAACAATAAAAATGGTAAGTAAGATTAATATGCTATGGTAATTTCTTGTTTGTGAACTTGAAACATGGCATTTGCAATGGGGTAGACTGTTTTAGGTATGCATTTAATCAGTCGCTGTATGATAGCTGTCTTGTAATATAACCGTTTTCTCAGCCAAAGATGGTCACATACTAAGGGCTTAGCTAATCTCAAGTGTTTGCCGACATAACTGTTGGCAAAACTTTCAATGCAACTTACACTTTTGAGCCTAAAGAAATCCAGCTTACACTTGCTGTTTCCTAATGGAACAAGTGAACTCAATAAAAGGTCTCTGTCATGAAGCATTCATTCATTAGGGTTTTTTTGTTGCCATAGTTACTTTGCTGTAGCTTCTCACTCCCTAATAAAATAAATACGTGAACAAAATGAAGTGTACATCAATTCTACACAGGTGAGAGTCATAAAATAACTTTTTAAAAGATTACTGAAGCCAGTTTTCCATATTTATTCATTGCTTTGCACATGCTCCATCATGCATCTAACATTTGCTTTCTGCTGCAGATAAAATCTTCAAAAACTCTGGCCAACTTAAAATCCACAATAAGTGAGTGCTATGATTATCTTACTGCTGCAGGATGTGTAAGGCCTGTCATGACTCTGTATGATAAGAATGCCCTGGTGAATGACCTACTGAGCTACCAAGTAATTAAGCGAATTATTTCACCTTTTGAAAGGTTTGTTTTGCTTGTAAAAGTCTACTTTTTTTTCTCAGCAACATACAGAGTACAGTTATTGAAGCAGTCATTGAATCAGTTGAAAAACTAGCAGATTTATGATTTTTCAAGTAGGCTAAATTGAATATGATATAACTTTCTAGCAATCTGATATGTTCTGTTTCAAATTTAGAAAATCCCATTAAGTTAAACTGTACGTGCTGCTCACTGGTAGAACCAAAGATGGCTGAAAGAAGAAAAACAACTTAACTTGTGCATTAACAGTACTTGATATAGTTAGTAGTTTTTCTCTGGTCTTGTATCTAACAGAACAAGGGAGGGATGATTTCAAGATCTGACTGTCAAAACCACATGGCCTATGGCCTAGAGCCCTCAGTCAATTTTTAATTCTTTTTTTTTTTTTTTACAACTGAAGGTGTTTCAAATAGACCCTCTCACTTCAAAAACACATTTTCTTTCATTCCTCGAACTTCAGCTTGATGTGTGAGTAATGTGCTTATTGGCAAATCTGTAATTATGAAGGTTGTCTAACTATTGGGAGAGAGGTATTATATATGGAAAACTAAACACACACACAAATGCGCACACGCTATCAGATAACCTTCACATAATCCAGTGTCATGTGATGGGAATGCTCTAGAATTTTAATACTTTTGTTAATATTCTTAATGCTTTTAACTTTTCTGATTTATAGATGATGGCCTAGTCCTTAACTAAAAGCACATAAAATATGTGTTAAGTAGTTTATATATAAATCAAAAGTTGTATAACCAAAGTAAATAAGAATTGTAATTGTTTTTCAAGTTTTATTTAGCAATCTAAGCTCATGTTCATGAAATAAATAAATACATAAAAATTAAAAATCTTGACCACTTTAGACTTTTCTTAAATAAGTGATTCTGTCAGAGAGGGAGGGAGAGAGAGATCGATTTTTTTTTCTTTTTTACATACTGCCATAAAAATATAATAAAGCCATATTGCTTTCTGATGCCTTTGTTTTTGTTTTTTCCTGCTCCAGTTTTAAGCAAGGTTTGAAAACTCTTGGTGTGTTGGAAAAAATACAGATTCATCCAGATGCATTCTCTAGCATATTGTGTCACAAACCTGAGAGACTTTCTGCAGAACTTCTTGGTGATCTCTTTACAATCCACTGTTCATCCCGTGTTAACAATGCTAAAGGGATTGACTATTGGATGGGTTACTTACAAGATGTGGAATGTAAGTGAACTCCTTTCCCCCCTTTTTAGTTCATTTCACAACTACTTGTATGGTGTGGCTTTTGTTCAATCTTTTTCTCACCTTTAACCTGATATTTTTCTTTTGCATTTCATGCAAACTTTTTTGTTTCCAATTTAACCATGTTTGTGATGGCAAATTCACTTAACTAATTGATCTAAGAGGCCAATTCCTTGTTTAGTTTTTGCTGTGCTTCTTTAGTATATGTTTGTTGGGCACCTTATGTAGGGAGCTGCAAAAGGTATGCAACTTTAAAAGCTTTTCTTCTTCTAGGTGGTGAGTCTGCAGCCACACTGGAAGATATTTTGGTCTTTGCAACTGGTAACACATCTATCCCACCCATTGGTTTTGAGCCTAAGCCATCCGTCAAATTTCTGAATATAAAATTCCCAGTTGGGAAGAGACACCTTAACTGTTTAGAGATACCAATAACAAAGGAATATGAAAAGTTTAAAAACACGATGGACTTCACTATCAAGAGGACACTAAGATTGGAAAGAGAATAAATATATATATTTTTACTAAACTGGATGTTGAAAACTTAATTTTTATGTATGTGGGACTTGTCTGCTTGCAAGCTGCTATTATTCCTGACCATATATTATACCCCTTTTGACCTTCTCGTTTTTTATTCAGTGGTTTTGACAATAAAATTTATCTAGCTTGGAATGTATCATATAGTTTCAACCCAAGCCAACTTTTAAGTGGCCATTGTATGCTGCAAACTATTTGAAGGAAAAAAAGCCAAATTTATATTGGCTTAACATTTATGCTCACAGATCAAACTCAGTGCTTGGGTAGTTGGGTGAAGTTTTGTTTGGTTTTGTTTGGTTTTTGTTTCATTTCCAGTTTAGAAATAAAAATACTAATACATGAGACGTAAGCTGCCGACACATTTAACTGTGATTATTAGCCTACTCATATGAGTAGGCTAATAATACGAGATTCAAAGTGAAGTTCTCTTTAAAAATATACTAGAAGCAGCATGAAAAAGTCTTTGAAATGGCTGTAATACTTTTAATATCTGTTGAACAGTCTTTCTGTCAAAATGTTTTGTCCTGGAATTCAAGAGGAGGTAGCAGAGTGCACAACAGTTAGAAAATTTGTAGTTGAAGACTACCAGATTGTGTAAAAGATCAAACACTTTCAAAGAAGAGTTAGGTGAAATAATCAAGTATGAGAACCAAAACTAATCCTAAATGCATGATGAATAAGGAACTTTAAAAAGCTGAACATGAAAGTTTGATTCAAAAATTTTTCTCAGGTCAGTTCTGTTTCTAATTAGAAAATGTGTTTATATCTTATGCTGAAGTCAGAATAGCTTTCATAATAGCTTGCACTATAACTGCTTTTTTAGCTTGCTCTTCCTCTTCAGGATTCTATTACAATCACAGTCCAACAGTTGACTAGAGTCTGATGCTAAATAAATTCTTGGCTTCTGTTTCATTTTAAACAGTTCTGGCTATTGTAGATGCTGTTTTAAAAAAAAAAATATATATATATATATTTGCCATTCTTCAGACTGTACTTTTTTTATGAAACTTGTTGTAACACAAAGACACCACAGGTGTCTAAATCAGCGAATGTTTAGCTTCTGTTGAAGTGCACTGTAACTAACGTAGGAAATTGCTTGGTGTTACTGATATTAAAAACTATATTAAGAGGGGAGGACAAATCTAAGTTGATGCTGGTGAATCTATACAAAAATTGTCAGTGTAAGAATTCATAGCATGTAACTTTTTTACTTTTTGATAATGTCTTCAAATGGTTAGCTTTTGAACAAAATTTTCATAAGACAATTGACACAAGACAATTATACTTTATCCTTTGTAAGCTGTTGTAAGTTATTCTTCCTATTGGCTATCTACTGTATACCTCACATTATGCAAAGGTCATATTATAAATAATTCCATGTGGACTCAAGCTTTCAAGAAAACTGAATTGTTTAAAGAAATCGTATTCAATCACTTAAAAACTACATTTATTCATAACTAATTGAAATTATAGGCAAGGATAATGTCTATATTAAACATGATACAAGAAGTTATTTTGGACTCACCTAAGAAATCCAGTTAAGTGGAAAAAAAAATAAGCTCAGATTTCTTTAACTCATTTGTTGGTGGAGCACTGGCTTCTTACAAAAAGTAGACTAGTTGCATGGTTTTTCTTATTAGCTACTAATCTGTATTTACATATTAGTTTGTACAAACCATTCTAGCTGTCTCAGTATGCTGGAATTATGTATGAAACACGAAATGATCCACAAGACTTTCATAATGGGAACCAAATTTTAATGCGAGAGTCTGAACCTTAAGGTTGTCAGTATTATTGTAAATATTTTACGAGCTGAAAAATGCCTTTAATAATTTGTAGAAGTTATCCAATAAAACACAATAACCTTAATTTTATTTTTTTTGTAGCTGCTACAGTGCTTGAAGTGGTTCTTCCTTCTTGCAATTGCTTTTTATGAAGAGTTCAAGCTACAGACCTACTTCTGCAACTAGACTAGTGGTTCTCAGCTGAGGTTCTGTGGCACACTGGAGTGCCTTGAGTTCATTTCAAGGCTGCTGCAGGGTACCACACAATGTTAACACTGTTAAGTGTGCAAGCACGATTCATAAGATAAAACCAGAGCTTTCAAATAGGAATCCAAAGCATCAGAAAATTCTGACTGTGGTTGTGCTGAGTTTTTTCCAAAAGAAGAATTGCTCTATTTCTCTGTATTCAAAAAATGAGTTAAAAGCAAGAGCTGGCATCTTCCAAAAGATACGTCAAGTATAAAAAGGTTGAGAGCTACTGAACTAAGTGTAAAGCAATGGTACTTAATGTATTAGGCTTTATTCCTACTTAGACTTGAGACACACCCCTCAAGGAAAATGCCAGCTCTTAGTTTTCACATTTTGACTATGAAAAAATAATATAACAATGCTTCTGTTGCAAAGAATTTTGAAAGACCACAGCAGGTCATATGTATTTTTTTAACACTATGGATTCGTATTTGAAATTGTTGGGTTTATCTTTTAAATCATGTTTGCATACCTAACAGCACTAACATTGTGTGGCATCCTGTGGTACCCCTGAAAAGATCTCAAGGCATCTCAAGGTGTTGCAGCAACCTGGCTAAGAATCGCTGATGGACAGTGTATATGACCTTTCAATTTTTCATTTAAAAATCTGTGCAATAAATCTGGATTATATATAAGATTACTTAAACATCAGTTACATTGAAGGTAATCTCCCTTTCATGGATTTAAAAAGCATGCAACAGGAGGACAATTGCAATTTTAATCTGGTGTGGGACAGAAATCTAATAGGCTTTCTAAGTGGTGGAATCTCTTAATTTTCCTCTTAAAACGTGTTCCATTTGTTCTGCTATTGTACCTGTTCTTCCCATCCCTTTATTCTCAAATTTTCTTCTTTGATACCTCATACTTTCTCCCAAAATATTTCAAGCATACTTCCATTTCCTTACTTTTAGAATTTAATATCTAGCTATACCTTTTCTATTCTTACCTCTCTTACCATTATCATGACGGCCTCTGTGCTCTGGCAAATTTGGTCTTTTTTGCAGAGTAAAGACACTTTGATTCTGTGCAGCTCATGCAGCATGTTGAAACTTCTGAAGGAAGTCATAAACCTTGTTGTTTTGAACTAGATATAAAAATTAATGTCACAGTCACTGCAGTATTCTTTGTTCAGTGTTGATTATGGATTTAATTTATTTTATGATTATGCAGTGCATATTTTTGGAGTATAAGACAGAACTTATAAAACTTAGTGGAGAGTTCAATATTTTGACAGGTATAATTACAGTTTTTAGCACTTGAGAAGGTAGGAGGGGTAGTTTGGGACTGTTAATTGGATACAACTTGCTTTTTTAAAAAGAAAATCAGTAAAATGTAACAGTATTAGTATTGAGAGAGATTTCAGAAGGTTTTGGAATTAACCTTAAATTGAGATGAATGGGGCAGCTCACATCCGATTAATCAACCTGGGTTTTGCAGTGCTGTCTTGTTACAAAGAACCACATCAGCAGAGAATTCTGTTTTAGAATATGCAGGACCCTCAGTATAGCTTCACAAGATGTACTGACATAGTTATGAAGATCTGGACACACTCCTGTTGATAAGGCAAAAAAACCCCTCATTCTACCTTGTAGAATTAGTTCATTTAATATTTTCTACGCAAAATTTTAGTTCTTGCTACATTTTGAATATCTTCCATTATCCATACTTCTGTCTTTTGTCCAAGGTAAAAATACAAGTCTGTCATTCCCAACTATGCCTCACTCTCCACAAATGCTATTACACTTATGAATAAGCTGACTTGTTTTTGTTAAAGTACAGAACAAAGTTATTCATTATAGAAATAGCGAACAACTTTTTTCCATAGAGTTAATCAGCTCCCAAAGGTAGCTAGTCACAAAAACTAAATATTTTTTGGTAACTTTTCTCATTTTTCCATAAATATTTAATTGGCGCAATTAAGAAATTGGCTTACTTTAATCTCTTCTTTTAGAATACAAGGAATCATTATCCACTCAGCAGTCATTAAATTGGATATTAAATATAGGTTTTCTAGAAATCCCAACACTTGAGATTCACAGTTAAAGCCAGAATAATTCATTAGTCCTCAAGTCTAATCTTCTATGGAAACACAGGCCATAGAACTTGCCTTTGTCAAGACCATAACCTTTGTTTAAAATCAAACACATTTTATAAGCTATATATTGGCCCCCTGTAATAAACTTTTCCAAGTGTTATAAACTTAGATTACTACTAGAACTTTAAAAAAGTATTGCAGTCTTTTGAACTTTTAGATAAGTGAAGTATCATAGAGCTATATTTTGTAAGCCTGTGAATAGTAGCTAATTGTGACCTATAAGGTTTCCAAGTGATTGAGAAGAAAAAAAATACTGTCTGGTGTTTGGGTTTGATTTTTGTTTTTTTTTTTTAAGGTATATATTAACAGCAAGAAGTTGTCACCAACCTTATATTCTACTTTTGGGATCTAAAGCATTAAATGTATTGCAATTTTTAAATAATGATTTTTGTTAAATAATTTTGTCTAGGACACATAATTGGAGTTCATAATTTAAAGGAAGTGTTTTTTCAAACATGTACAGCAAAAAAAATAAAAAGGGAGAAATGTCTTAATTATTGTCATGATGGGACTTCCTTCAGTTCCTATGGCTAGACTTTTCATTTCGTCTTTCAAGTATTAGTAGAGTGATATGTTGTCTTTTCTTTCTTCCCAAATAGGAATTGATACCCTTTTTTTGCCTTTGCTAGCTATGTAGTAGTTTTAAGTCTGCAGTGTTATGGTTCTGATTTAATATGAGAAACTGAATTGCCAATCTGGTTAAAAGGAAAATGGGAATGTAAATCTAGGTTACCAGAAATAACTGTTTCTAATGTTTAAATCTCTTTTGAAATACTGATGGCACCTAGTAAATCATTCAGCAGCTTAGTGTAAAACAAAATAATGCTTAGATGACTAACATCCATAAGTAGAGCATTCCCTATAGAAGTTCAATATTGTAAATATTTTAGATATGGTTTTGTCATAACTACGGATTTAGTGCCTGAAATCTGTTGCAGTTTCAAGTAGCATTATACTTGACAGCTATAATATTATGTTAGTGTTGCTCTCTGAAGTAAATACATTAATTGTGGGAGATAACTGTCATATGTATAAAATTGTTGAAGTGCAATAAAGAAACTAAGAATTTGATTAGTAAAGCTGAATTAACTGTGTAGTTTTTCCTATAAATCTGGAGGGGGGAGCTGAGGTTTTTTTTGGATAGAGGCAAAAGATGTTATTTATAAATAAGAGAAAGTTTGTAAGCTTTTACATACTCTACCAAGGAATATCTAGACCAATGATTGATTCTCAATTGAAGTGCCATAGCACCCTGGGGTGCCTGAACATCCTTTTAAGGGTGCTGTGAAATGCTATGCAATGTTAACACTGCATGTTTAGGTACATAAACATGATGAAAAACATTAACCCAGTGATTTCAAATAGAAATGCGTAGGGTTAAAATTCTGACCTATTGTGGGCTGTTTTTTGTAATGGGAAAATTGTTTTACTCTTGTTCCAGTCAAAAAGTGAAAACTAAGAGCTGTGAGTTTCTAAAAGTTGCATCTAAAAGTTTGAGAGAAAGTGATCTAGATCAGTGGTCTCCGAAGTGGGGTGCGCAAGACAATCCATTGGGGTGCAGGAAGAAAATATTAGAACTTCTATTTATGATTATATAAATATACATATATTGGGGGTGCATGCTCAAAATTTTTTTACTGATAGGGGTGCACGATCAAAAAAGTTTGGAGACCACTGATCTGGAAGAGCCACTCCAGTGCCCTCTGGCAGGTTACTTTAGCATTTGACTGCTCTAATAACTGCCAATCATTGCTTTTTGACTATGGACCTCTGGGCTGCCTTAAAGTAACTGCTCCACCTGAATTACATGGTACTCTTCTAAACTGCATGTTGCAAGGTATATTTTCCGTGACAGGCAAGCATCCACAACTGGCCCACAGCTGAATTTTAACAGGCCTGTAAGTAATGCCACCCTGAGTCAGGCCACCTAGCCTAAGCCTATTCCTGACCACGTCTCCCACTTGGTTGGACCTACTTTGTGGCCAACCTCTTCCTGGCTCTGGCTGAGCTGGCCAGCTCCTGAACCAGGAAAGAGGTCTTGGCCCACGAAACCTAGACAAGTGGGGGCTCTTTGTCTCAGTCCTTCGCTCATGTCTCCAGTTTTAGTGATCAATGACTACACGCTCCCTCAACTTGTCCAGGGGGCAGTGGCTCGGCACAGTAGCTGTGCTCTGCTCCATGTCCCCTTCTCACTCCCTTGTTACTAAGCCCTTTTTATTTGTGCCAAGGAATCGGTTGTTCCATCTCCACCAGCCTCCTTTCTTAAGGGGGAGCTTATAGTGTTTCCTTGGGGGCGGAAAGTCTACACACCACCCCTCGGCGGGGCCTACCTATAGCTCCATCAAGCCCAGCACCCCCTGCACAACCTCCTCCCCGCTCCGGCCGAGCTGCCCCTCGAGCGCAGTAGGAAGGGGCAACCTGCCCCCCCCCCCGCCTCCACAAGGCCAGCGGGCCAGTCACACCACAGGAGGGGCGGCCCCCTGCCCTGCCCCTATCAGCCAGGGGGTGGGGCCTGGCCGCGCGGCGGCTGGGACGCCACGTCTTGCGGAGGGCGAGGGCGGGGCGAGCGGCGAAGATGGCGGCCGGGATCAGGGAGAAGCAGGCGGGTGAGCGAGTCGCCTTTTGCCTGCCCCGCGGCGGGGGCTCGGCCTGCGCTGCGCTGCGCTGTGCCGCCAGGAGTCGGGGGTGGGGGAACGCGGCCGAGCCCTGGCGCTGCTCCCGGGCTGCTGGGGGTGGAGCGGGCTCGGGGCGGCCGGACCCCGCTCCTAAGGGGTCCGGCCGTGTCTGCCCCCCTCGTTGGGGCCCCGTGTCTGCCCCTCTCGTCCCCGCACTGGTTCCGCAGCACTCGGAGCCCTCGGGCCGCCTGGGGGCATCCGCCTGCCCTGTGCGGGGTCCCGGGCCGGGCCCCAGCCTCTGACCGGGCGCTTGCTGGGTTGGGGCGGACAAGTGCGGAGCTGGGCAGTGCCTGAACCAGAGCCCAGCCCTTTGAAGCAGGCTCCGGTTCTCCTCGTATGTGCCGGACCTGGTTAAGGCGTCTTGTGGGACTTGCTGTTTCTTGCTAGGCTGAAGTGCCAGGGGAGCAGCTGTCCAAGAAACCTTGGAAGTGACGGGAGCTGCTGGCTTCCAGGGCTTCCGTCCCACAGGGCTGTCAGAGATACCTGGTCAGCCCTTAGCACTGGCTCCCCTCCTCTCAGAGTTTCCAATAATTAGAGGTGTACCAATATATTGGTTGCCTATCAGATTGCACTAATAAAGGGAAAGTTATATTACTGGCTTTTGGCTTTTTTTCACCATTGTAGCCAGTAATGTTCTCCAATAATGATGCCTGGGTTCTTTCCTGCGAGCCAGGGTGATCCTGGATAACCCCCCCATTCTCTCGCTCCAGGCCGGACCAGGCTGTGCTGGCACAGAGCAGCTGCCACGGTGTCCTGGGCACTGGCACGGTGTGGACTGTAGGCTGGGGTGGGCACTGTAAAAGGTGCCAAATGCTGCAGGCGTGGCTAGGGCAGGAGGGGCAAGCTGAGCTGCCAAGCCTGGCCCAGCCCAGCATGCCTCAACCCAAAGTTAACATTGAATATTGGATCGGTATCGACCAGTATGACTGGTTAATAATCAGCTATCAGTATCGAGCAAAAAAAGTCTTTATCAGTGCACCACTACCAATAATCGCTGCCAGCAGAAGCCTTGAAGTCAGAGCCACCAAACCTCATAGCATTATCAGCCCTATTTATTTTGATGAGGTTGGATTATTTAGACTCAGTCCAGAGAAGTGCATGCTCCATGTTAAGTGTGTTGCCTTTTTTATTTTGAATCCTAAGCTTACACACTTAAAGCAGAGCATGCTGTATTAATACAGCTGCAGAGAGGCTCGGGGAGCCCATGAGACTGTATTAGTCAGCATGATCAATAGTAGACATGATATCAGCAACTGCTTGAGGGTTTTTTTATAGGTGTCATGGTAAAGCAGAGCTTTAGGGGGAGATTGGAACCAAGACAATGCTGTCAATGTGCATGTGTTTATGAGGAGCTCTTTCTAAATAGAAGGGATGCACGGAGGTTGGTTAATGATCTAAAAAGTAAATGAGACTAATATTATGGTTGATAGAAGTAGGTAACTTCTTGGTATGTTGGGGTCATGCTGTGAGGGCTTTGAAAGGGAAGACAAAGCTGCTTGGGTTTGATTCAGTAGAGAGGAACCAGCAGAAGAATGCACAGAAAGGTTAAAGCCATTAATTCTCAACCAGGGTGCCACGAGGTCCTTTTAAGGATGCCATCAGCTGCCATGCAGTATTAGCACTGCTAGATGGGCAGACGTCTACATGAGATTCATGAGTTAAATTCAGAGATTTCAAACAGGAGCCATAGTGGCCAGGTACTGGCATTACATTTCTATGGGGAGAATCACCATTCTGTTAGAATCACCATTTCCTGTTAGAAATGACAAGCGTGTAAGTGTTCATTCAAACATGCCCCTTCTGGCAGAAGGATCTTCTAAGAGCCAACTTGGACGACCTTCCTTGCAAGAGAATCTCTCTCTCAGGAATGAATGCTTGTACGTCCCTCTCCTGGTCTGGTCCAGGAGGAAAGCATAACGGCAGGGACGGCTGGGGGGTTTGCTCTGTTCCGCACTTGAGAGCCCTGCTTCTGTATCCCCACACATAGGCTGCAGGCTCTGTCTGAAGTATTACATGACAGAGAAGCTTCTCCCTCCCTTCCCCCTATGAGGCCGCTTTTAGATCCAATGCTGACAGCCCCATTACTTTGTGCCACCCTGCAGGGGCAGCTGCTCCCTGCTAGCTTCCCAGACTGGGGGTTCCAGGTCTGAAGCAGTGGGAACTTTGCCATGCTACTCCAATCCTCCTGGGATGTGGAGATGTAGAGCAGCTGCTTCTCCCCATGTCTTCCCCAGACTGATGATCCCTGACCTGGTGAATGGACTCAGAGTAGGGGAGAAGGGTCTGTGCAGTGCTGAATGCCTGTATAGTTCCCTCTCCCAGAATGATTTCTAGTGGTGGAAACTTCTCAAAAATTTCACTGCTAGAAATGAAAGCCTGTCTCAAGCCAGTGTCAAAAACATTACAATTGGTATTTCTCATTTCATTACCATAGCAAATTAGTCTTTTATTTTTTTTTATCGTCAAAAAACAAGTGAAAACTAAGAGATGGTATTTTCTAAGGGGTACTTTGGGTCTAAAACACTGGCAGCTACTGGCTTAGCCAAATTATCTTGGCAGAAGCAGTGCTAGATTTCAACTATTGTAATCTCTCTCCTTCAATACTTCTGCCTTCTTTTTGCTATTCCTCTCTATGCTGAGTCTTAATTTAGGTTGAAAACTCCTCATGGCAGTTATCTTTAGGTCATTTACAAGTGATGTGGCATATGCAGCTGCGGTACTAAAACATACCAGTGTAATTGTCATTTTTTTTCTGTTACCAAAGTTTATGATTATTTATCTGGAGTCAAGGGGGTGCACATTTACTTTACATTGCCACATCATTTATTGCCACATCAAGGGAGGAAGTAAGAAAGTATATTTTAAAATGTTTCTTTCATTATGTAAACAGGCTTTTGGTCAGATCCATTAGATCACTGGTGTCAAAGATGCATGGCCCACAGAGCCCTACTATTCAGCCCACAAGACTGCCTGTGGGTCTCAGCCTGGTGTGCTATATGCAGCATGTGCTAGTCCCGGCCGAGCACTCTATATACAACACACAGTTCATGTGGCTTGGGGACTGAAGCCGGCGGATACTTCACATTGCATGCAGGGCTAGTCTGGGACATTGTGTACAAGGCCAGCGTGTGCACCTGCACCAGATCGACCCTGCAAGTTGGATCCAGGGCTAGATCGGGTCTGACACAGGTGCCACATGCGGCATGCACCCCACACCAGCCCTATGCACCACATGGCAGGCTGGGGCTAGCACATGTTACATATAGCACGGGGGCTGGAGTTGGTACGTGCTGCATGCAGCATGCGAGGCCAATATGTGCCACACACTGCATATGGCATCTGCACCAGGTATATATTTCCTAAATTTATATTCAGACCTTACATCATAACCCTATAGCCTTTAGAGCTGTACTAACTTCAAGATGACAGCTTCCAAGATTTGTTTCTCAGGATTTGTAGTCTGTCTTTGGGCAAAGGAGCATTTTGTTCCTTAGGTTTGATGTTCTTCCTACTAAGAAATGCTAGAGAGGTAACTTTCCTTATGAGACAAATTTGCCAGGTGATTGGGGGAAAACATAGGTCAAAGTGGTTGTTGTTGGGTAGTGTGCAGCATTTTGGCACATATTGAAATTGCTTTTAAATAACAAATTTCTAAGTGGGCTGTAGTTTTTCTTGGTAATAAGAGCAACAGATTCTGTATTCAGTCCCTGGGGACTATTTCTCTAACTCCACACTGAACTCAATTTCCAGTTGAGATGTTGTTACTTTGGTATTTGACTGTCACAGGTTATTGCAAAAGCATCTTTTGTCCGTGTCAAAATATTTGGCCTCAGGAGTTTTCAGGGGTGGGAGAGGAGAACTAAAATGGTAATAATGACATATTTTATGTTGTTTTTCAGTGGCTTTGAAGCGTATGTTAAATTTTAATGTTGCCCCTGTTAAAAACAGCACAGGAGAACCAGTGTGGAAGGTAAGAAGAACAGTTTCACAATGTAAAAGGCAACTTTACAGCATGTGCAATGTTAAATTACCAGATTTAATCTATGGGAACTAAAAAAATCTCAGGACTCTTTGCCAAATGTCAGAGCATATTGAAAGAGCATTTTTATGATTTCTTTACATACATTAGTATTGTATTATACTAACATTTTTTTAATTTCAGAAAATATTTGTCATGTGTCTACAAAATTTGCTGTTCGTGGTCATTCTGTCTTTACTTTGATCTGATCCATTTTTAAACATCAAGAGTTTTGTTTATTTTGAAAATGAGCTATAGCTTTGAAGAGAGATTAAATTGGGGAGAGAGGGGAATAGAATCAGTCATAATAAATTATCAAAGGTGTATTAATTGCCTCCTTAAGAAAAAATTAAAATTAGGCTACAGCTGTGCAACATCTTGATAACTTTTACCAATTATCTTAATACTGACAGTCTGTAATGAATAATTCACCTTTTTCTGGTATACAGCCTAACTCATGGTATGATACATTTAGACATTAAACACAAGAAAAACTGAAACCCCTTCCCTGGAAAAAATTAACTGTAAAGTACTAAGGTAGCCTTTAGTCACCTTAAAGCAACGTGCTTCCTCTTTCTGTTATTTTTTTTGTATTCCTGTAGAAAGGAAAAAGGATTTGCTATTATATGTACATTATCACAGATAGAGAAAATACCCAGTTATGAGATTAGCTGCTAAAGGAACTGATGCCTAACCAAAGCTCTAGGCAAACCTAACAGATATGTTACATGAGAACCTGAGAGGAGAGCAGATGAAAAATGCTTAAAACCAGATAAGCACTGACAGCCATTCAAAGTAAACTAATTAGAAAGAGAAGGGAAGGAGCTAGATAATTTAAAGCCTTATATCTAGGGCAGTTGCAAAAAAGTACCTTTATTACTACTGTGATTGTTTTGTTTTTAATATAGCATTTTAGGAAAAACTCAGTTTCCAGAAAGTTTCTTAACTTGTCATCTTCCAGGCAGTATTGTCACTCATTCTTCCACATTTCAGAATAGTAGACTTTTCTGGAGGCAGAACATCCTATTTAACTGAAATGAAGCACTGAGGAATGATTGTTGTTCTCACATTTTCCTGTTTTCTTTTTGTTTTATTGTCTCATAGTAAACACTAATAACAGGAAAGAAAGAATGTGAGGATTGGCTCAGTTTTTACATATAATTAATTTTTTTCAGAATGCATCCTGAAACTTGTTTTTCCCCTTTATAGTAAACATACAGCTTTAGAACGTGTGTGTGTAATATATGTTCCTTTATGTCTTTTAGGTTCTAATATATGACAGATTTGGCCAAGATATAATCTCTCCTTTGTTGTCAGTGAAAGAGCTGAGAGACATGGGCATCACTTTACATCTGTGAGTACACTATATATCTCTTAAAGTCCTTATCAAAAGCCTAGGCTTTTATACAGTACTAGTCAATTGCCCGCCATAAATGACAAATTTAAAATAATGAAGGAGTGTTTACATGGCTTCCCCCTGCTCACCCTTTGGGGCTGGCCATGTAAACACTCCCTGCATCGCCACCACCTCCTCCTCCAGCCACGGGTGCAGGGGCTCCTTCCTCTCACCCACCTCTGCCTTCTCCCCTGAACAGCAGGACTTCCCCCTGCCTCCTTTCCGTCCCCACCACCTCCCCCTTCCTGCCT